TGAATGGCGGCGCAGGTGGCGCTGTCGTAGCGGTATGGTCGCACATCATTGGCCGGGGGCACAATGGTCGCGGCGATGCAGACGTCACAAGGGCGTAAGACCGGCGGAATAACTGGTGGCGGCGGCGGGAGGGCCTGACCGGCTTGAGAAACCGGGCAGCAATCACACGCGACATCGAACATAGCTGCTGTGCATGTCCCTGCGGGGAAGCCTGGCGACGAGCACAGTTGCTCCAGGGTGGTGCAGCCCTGGCCTCCACGGTTGGTCTTGAGGGTGAGGCACACCTCCGCATCCTGGGCGGTCGTGGTGTCCAGCCCCAGCTGGGTGAGCCGCAGAACGGCGGAGCCAACAGGCCCAGCCGGGGCCTTGTCCAGGGTCGCACCAACCCGGGTCCGCACTCCGTTCACGGTGGCGACGACTGAAGCCCCGGCCACCAGGCAGCTGCTGGACACGTTGAACTGCGGACATGGCGGGGTGGCATGTGGTGGGAGGATGGAGTGAGGGCAAGGTGAGGCAGGAGGGAACATCACAATTTGATGTTCCCTCTACTTTTGAGGGTGCGAAGTTCCCATTCTGTCCAGTACATGCAAATGAGCTATATAGATCTTGCCAGGCGCGTTCCAAACCCTTAAATGCTTAATAAATCTTGCAAGGCGCGTTCCAAACCCTGATAAGAAGTTTACTCCCCTGGGCAGCTAGGATGGTAACGGAGCCCCCAACACCGACATCATGAGCGCCTTCCCCTGCTTTCCGAGGCCCTAGGACCTGTAGCACTATGTCCGCATGTCGCATCCCCCACACCATCAGCCGGCCGTGGGCGCACCTCAATTTTGTGCAAGTCGGCGCTGCAGCAGGCGCCAGTGCAAGACAGGGCATCCTGGCTGACCTGGATCTTGAAGCAGTACGTGTTGCTGCCCGAAGGTCGCCACACCGGTGCCAGCCGGTACGCGCCGTTTGTGGTGTTGCAGTCGCGGAATGGGAAGTTGGGGATGCTGCCAGGCGTGACAGCTGAGGGATCGTACTCGTTGTATTCCTGCGCATGAGCGCTGAGCGCCCTGGAACCAGCGGCGACAAGCAGCAAGCAAGATCAGTGCTCATGGTTGACGCTTGCTGTTTCATGATCGAGTTATGATTGTTGACGTCTTATCTTTTATGTATTGCTTTATAGAAAAGGCTCATCACTATGGCATGCGACAGGACATGTACGTCTTTTGCGACGCAAAGGCAAAGACTTGAAATCCTTCATATATATGGCATGCTCTTAAATATACTTATAGACCCAACCTCAGATTGTAAGCCCAGGCATATGGGAATGCACCATGCTAAATACGCACCAGCCAACCGCCAGCACTGTCGCCAAAGTGAAAGCCGCCTTTGCAAAGGATGCCATATTGTCAGAGCTATATTACTTTGATGATGTTCTGTATCATAGTTGCGCTATTTATCTACCCGACCGACCGCGGCAGCTGTGCTGCTGCTGGGCCGTACGTCTACCATAAACGGCGGGCGCAGGTAGCCGCTTCCGAGACTGGCCACCGCAACAGAGGTGCTTCGTCCTTTGGAATCAATATGTTTATGTAGAATATAAATCTCAGAAACACGGCCCAACATGCTTTAATCGCGGACACATGTAGTTGTGCATTTCATCCGTTGGGATGTTGCTCGTGTTGTACGTGTCGGAATCCGACCCGTCGTTGTAATCTGTAGCACCATTTCTTTTATATAACTTGATATTTACTGACCAACAGCTCTGATCCTGGCATAATGAATACAATTTCGCCACACACCCTTCATCATTTAGGTTGGTGAGCATGCATCGTTTTCGCACCGGTAGCTACGGCTGCTACTCGGCGGTTAATGATGCGAAAGCCAGTTGCATCAGCAACGGGACCAAACCACATCAACATAGACCTAGGAACTACTACACCTCTAGACAACCGCGTGCTAGCGCCTAACAAACGTGGGTGCGGTGCGGTGTGTGTGGCGAGGGGCCTGGCGTTGCACCACCCGAACTGAGAGGGAACTGGAGAGAGGGATAGTGGTCAGAGCGGGGAGGGGCGAGAGGGAATAGCCCAGCAACTCCAGGTCTTAAGGCCCATGTCCGGGACTTGATGCCTGAGCGCAAGGGCGTCAGCGATCTACTGACCCCAAAGCCTATTGAGGCCTCGTTGTACACTTCTTATTAGTGTCTCTCTCTATCCCTTCAGCGCAGTGCTTGCCAGGCGAGCTTCGGCCTCTGCCCAAATTCTTTCCGACATCTTTTGGTTCTTTCTCGGTTATCTAATGATATTTAAAGCAATGTTGGTAAATGTGGTGCATTTACCGGTGCATTTACCTGTGCATTTACCGGTGCATTTACCTGTATTTCCCGCAACCCTCAACAAGGCTGTACACCCCATCAAAATGACCTCGGGTTCGGAAACCACAAACCACAAGAAACCTACTGCATGATGTGGCCCATTACAGGGCCCGCAACGATGTTGACAACGCTGTCCCGCAGTCCCCGAATGTCCAACAACGGCACATGCTGCCTAACCGATGAAGCACTGCACAGCGAGTTTGGATGTGTGGCCTCTATACCAGGGACTCCCCCTCATCACAGATAGCTGTTCTACGCAGGGGCTCTACATGTGCAGGGAGTGAGATGCGTCGGATGAGGGAGGGTGCTACAACATTACTGCCGGTGTCCATGATTGGGGGATGTGCTTGGGGTTTTAGCAAGATAGCTGTTCTACGCAGGGGCTACATTACCGCCTGCATCAATAGCACCCTGCTTATTGGACCAGTATATCGAGCCCCTGAAACGTCCCGTGTCTACCCGGGGGAACGCGGTCCTAAGGTTGCTCGTAATGGTGTGGTGGGACTTGCCTTTGCACCCCTGAAACATTGATCTCTATCAACGAGCTGTGCACTGGTGATGAGGATGTTTTTCTGGTCGGAGAAGGTGGGTTGGCAGAAGCCCCGTTAACCGCCGCCGTAGCTACCGGTGCGAAAACGATGCATGCTCACCAACCTAAATGATGAAGGGTGTGTGGCGAAGTTATATTCATTATGCCAGGATCAGAGATGTTGGTCAGTAAATATCAAGTTATATAAAAGAAATGGTGCTACAGATTACAACGACGGGTCGGATTCCGATACGTACAACACGAGCAACATCCCAACGGATGAAATGCACATTTATATGTGTCCGCGATTAAAGCATGTTGGGCCGTGTTTCTGAGATTTATATTCTACATAAAGATATTGATTCCAAAGGACGGAGCGCCTCTGTTGCGGTGGCCAGTGTCGGAAGCGGCTACCTGCGCCCGCCGTTTACGGTAGACGTACGGCCCAGCAGCAGCACAGCTGCCGC